CAGAAGTAATATACCAAATAAGTATTAAAGATTCACAGTATAATAATAAAATATAAAAAAAGCTAAAAAAAGATCTGCTTGTCAAATAGATATATGGGTTGAAGTCCCAATGGAACTTGAATATGAATTTGTCTCAAAACATATTAACACCTAGACTGATATCAAAATTAGAAAAAGAAAAAAAAGATACACTATTAAAGATATTAGAAAAAATCTTTGTAAGACATCTCAGAAGTCAAAAGATTTTTAATAAAATACAAGAAAAATTCTTGAAAAGAAGACCAAGTTCTAGGAAGAAAAAGAAGAAAAAAAATCAAAAAAAGGAAAGAAGAAAACTCCTATATCCAAAACATGGAAAAAAGAAAATTTAAACAAACTAACCAAGATTTAAAAATGAAGAAACTGAAAGAAGATCCAAGGTACTTTGAGGAAGAGAAAACATACAGAAGAATATTTCTGAAAAAAACTCATAGAACAAGTCTTCAAAAAAAAGAAAAAAAATACAAAACTATAAAACAAAAAAGAAAAATTTTTAAGAACTGGGTCTCTAATTGAAAAAAACAGGTTGAATCAGAAGAAAAAGAAAAGAAAATACAAATACAAATGAAAAAATCTTGGCAATAACCCTGTGTCAAAAGAGGAAATTTTGTTATTATTAAAAATTAGATTTAAAACTTTGTTTTAAAAAGAAGAATAGTTTAAAAAGAGAAAATTGCCAATGTAATTTAGTTAGAAATTTTTTTATTTTGAAACTGTCTTGTGATGATTTCTTAGACTAGCTTAATATAACCCTCCAATACAAGCAATAGCCTTAACCAGTGAAGCAGACCACACTTGAACACTCCTAGAGATAGCTAAGTAATATCAGATTTGTAACTTAAATAATCTTAAATATACTTGTACATATAATATGCTTTGATCTAATAAAGATATTAGTAAAACTACCAATATATGAAAAAAAAAATTCATTCTGTATATTTTAACAATACTTTAAAAAAAATTTAATATTTTTTTTATTTTGATTTTTAAAAAAAATTGAATTATACATTTTAAATTTACTTATAAATACAAATTCTTATGGGTTTATGATAAAACCTGCAATAACATGTGATGCATGAAAAATGACCAATTGGTAAGTGTAAATTTTGATTATCCTGAATCAGTTCAACATCAAAACAAAACACATGTATAAGAAGAAAAAAGAAAAAAAAACATAAATACTCAAAAACTAGTGTTTAAATCGGCCTTTAAGCACTAACAAAAATTGTCAGGAGCGTAATTTTACATATAGGGATGATCTTTCAAGACCTATAACCATGAATCCTGACCGGAAACATAATATAGAGCCAAAAAAAGCTTATCCGAATATGCCACAAATGCACCAAAAATTTTTCGATAATAAAATTTTAAAAGTTTGTTACTACTAAGATTAGCGTCTATATTAGCGTTATTGTTAGCAAGATATATAGCAAAATCGCCCAAGAAAAACTTTTTGTTAGTGCACTAAAGATGGTTTCCTATGCAGTGGCGATTTTTACGATTGTTTTTATTTTCCTGATTGTGTTACTTTGATGTTACGTTACACCTGATCAACTATGATTGGCTTGTAGTCACGTTTTGAAAAATTTTTGATGGTGCTCTTGGAGTTAGTGTCTAGACTCCTGGCGGAGTCGGGTAGTTCCAGTAGCTGAGTTAGTCAAATAACTAAATATATTTAAAATTTTGGCACCTTTAATGAAAAGAAAATTGGAGCACATTATAAAAAAAAATATATATTTTAAACTTATTACAATAATTTTTTAAAAAATAAAAAAAAAATAAAGCTCTAAATTGTAATAAATTGAGTAAACTACAAAATAGTAATTTCTTTTTATAAAATTGTTTTAAATTGAACAGTTTTGTTTCAAAAATTTGAGAAGTTGGTGTCTCGCAGTATTATAAAAATTCCGTAACACTGCAAGATCTAATTTCGAGTAATGATTTTAAACAGGTACAACTTTAAGCGGGTGTTATCTTCAGGCGTAACATTAATACGTGCTACAGAATTAGCATGAAAAATAATAAAGACAAATATTATTATTGAGGTTATCTGGATTTGTATTTTAAATTTGAAATTCTTAAAACTATTTATGAGTATTCATTTTATTCGCGTTGGTTAAGTCTGAGCATAAAAGTTATTTGCATTTTTTTGAAAGTCGCACGATTATAAAAAGATTCGGATTGTGAAAAATGTGCGTATTGTAGTGAATATAATACGAGTAATGCATGGTGTCAGGCATGAATATTTAATGATCGATCAATTATCGACTGACCATATTCAAAAAAAATTTTATGATCGGTTACGATCAAACAAATGATCGATCATTTCCTAATTGATCATCTCTATTTGTTCATGGAGAATATGCAGGTGACGTAGGACTGCGAAAAAAAAATTAATTAGATTTTTTCGATAACTAATGATTAATGTTTAAATAAAATACAAACCTATAGCGCGGTGATGACGGTGAACCAGAATTTATTGACGAAGACCCAATTGTTGGACTATATGTAGCCGCATTGAGACCGGGAGCTGCAGTGATTGATGATACAGGGCTATACGATGAGCTTGCAGTTGGAGTGTAATTAGCAGTAGTACTTGGCGATGATGGCGTATATACAGGAGAAGTTGGACTAATAAAATGCATATTATGATCGTCAGTTACTATACAACTACTAACTACTAATTGATGAAACGTATATAAACTTACGAATAAGATGGTGACGTTGGAGAGTAATGAGGTGATGTTGGAGAATACGTTGGAGACGTAGGTGAATATGTTGGAGATGTGGGTGTATAATTA